TTTTTGAGACAGAGTCTCACTTTGTTGCCCAGGCTAGAGTGAGTGCCGTGGCATCAGCCTAGCTCACAGCAACCTCAAACTCCTGGGCTGGAGTGATCCTTCTGCCTCAGCCTCCCAGGTAGCTGGGACTACAGGCATGCGCCACCATGCCCGGCTAATTTTTTCTATATATATTAGTTGGCCAATTAATTTCTTTCTATTTATAGTAGAGACGGGGTCTCGCTCTTGCTCAGGCTGGTTTTGAACTCCTGACCTTGAGCAATCCGCCCGCCTCGGCCTCCTAAGAGCTAGGATTACAGGCGTGAGCCACAGCGCCCGGCCTGGAAACATACTTTTTTGACTTCATGTTTGTGTAAAACAGACTCAGTAGTTGAATTACCCTGTGGATAGAATTGTGATGTTACAATAAGGTCTTTTGCTCTTTTAGATAATAGAGATTTATTGATGTCTTCAAAAGAAGCTTTTCTTTAACTGTCTTCCAGGATGAAGCGTATGTTATAATCAATTTTTTTTAAGAGCTCGACTTTCTGAATTTGTTACCTTATAAGTTCCTAACCTAGGTTTGGATAGAATTTCATTTGCTGCTGGCTGGCAGCCACTGCTGAAGGAGAGAAGCGAGTTGTGCCAGCAGCCAAATGAATTTGTCCTGTGTGTCCTCTCCAGCAGTGTCATGTGGTGTCAACTTCCAGGCCCAAGTTTGATGTCATCTTATGAGTTTCTCTATGTAGGTTTTCAGATTCCTCTGTATGATTTTATGCAACTTTTCCATAAATCTTTGATTATATGGACACTTATATATGTTGCCTTCTTTCTATGTCTAAACAGATCTTGGATGAACTTATTTTTTTCAAAAACACAAACTTATCTGAGATCACTAATTGAAAGGTTTTCCTGATTCCAGGGTCAGTAATTTTTCTAGTTTAGTAAAAGCTAGGGTACGTTGCCTCATTTCCCCTTCCTGAGTTGTACCCATTCCTCAGCTGCTGGCAAAGTTGGCTGCAAATGTATCAGAGCTCCCACTCACTCACCTCCTAACTTCCCATCTCCTCACCCACTGCTCCCTGAGAATTGCTTTTTGATAATGGGTGCAATCTAGCCAGGAAGGCTGTGATACTTCTTTCCCACGTCAGGAATGGCATGTAGACAATGCTTGGCAGATACAGAAGTCTAACTTTCTTGCCTCCAGAGGGGACAACACTCTGGTGAGATTTATATTCCAGATTCCATGCAATACAAATGGATCAGGCCAAAGCTAGACTTTACCTGAGACCACATGCTTGATCATCACTATCTCCTTTCCTATCCTAATTTATTCTCACCTTAGAGGTATTTCTGAAGATACTTTCCTCAGTAAAGCATTAAAAACCATGGATGAAGCTCTGTTTCTAGGGAAATAGACTTAAAATGGTACCAAAAGTCTTAGGAAACAGATTGCAAGAATGGGATCCTGGAGTTAGAAACTTGAAGGCTAGCTTACACTGAAGACTTCATCACTGGTGGTAGCCTCTGGCATATAGCCACAGTGCAATTGCTAAGGTTCTCACTGAGGTCAGCTTGGATGGGATATGGGTGAGGAAGATGCACTAGTTTGTGCAATATCTCTGGTGTTTGAGAGGTACAAGAGAAATATAAATTATAAGGATTGTGGAATTGAGAGGCTATTTCTGAATGCCATTGATGCTTCAAAGACATGAAATAACAGGCTCAGGGCAATCAATCACCAATTTAAAGCCAGGTATGAGAGTCAGAGGCCCTCTTTGGCAGCTCGTAAAGAGACCTTCAGCTCCTGCAGCTGGAGGGCAGATGAACTGAAGATCAGGCATTGGACTTAATTATAAAAGTCACAGGACTCAGGAGAAAACTTAATTTTCAGCCTTGGCAAATCTCATGTGCCAGAGTCCTAAAAGGTAAAGAAAGAGATACAGAAACTTGGGATAGTGTAATCTGGGTATATATACAGTAAGTCCTCACTTAACATCTTCAATAGATTCTTGGGAGCTGAGACATGAAGCAAAATGACATATAATGGAAGCAATTTTATGACGATATAATTAATATAAAAAGGTTTTAATTTCCTACAACATATTTCTGTTCACAAAAAATCATCAAACTTCTAACCAAACTTCTAAATAAAGACCCAAAACATTTCAAATATTAAAGGTTGGAATAAATGTGAACCCTATATACATTTAAGAAAGAATAATAAAACAAGTAAAGTAACTCTTTATTCAATTTTTGGTGAACCAGTGAGTGATGGCAGTTGTAGTGGTGGTGGATTAGACCAAGGAATTAATGTTTGCAAAGAGAAAATTGTAACGAGCACCTCCTACTGACAGCTCAATAACACGCAATAAATATGGTGGGCTCGCTGAGCACTTTTGCCTTGCATCATTTACTGTCATGCATTTATGGAATTATTGTAGACTTGACAAATTTTTATTTGACAATAATTTGTATTCATTCGTTCACTTATTTTCCAGCCCATTTATTCCAGTTCAGGGTCACAGGTGGACAGAGTACAAAAGCTGTACTTTTACCTAGCAGCTCAAAGTACAAGACGGGACACCATTTCATCACCAGGTACACTCACACACACATCTACACTCACTCAGACTGGGACCATTTAGACACACCGGTGAACTAAACATGCACATCTCTGGGATGTGGGAGGAAACCAAAGTACCTGGAGAAAACCCCCACAGACAAGGGGAGAACATGCAAGCTCCACATAGGCAGTAGCCCTAGCCAGAATGGATTTTTTTTTCTCATCAATGTTGCAATGAAACAACAAATGACATTATTTGAGGACCTGCTGTATATGTAAACCCTGGACTCCCAGATTCCCCTGAAACTTCTAGGCTTGTCCAATGGTCCCCCTTGTTGAAATACAGTGCCTTCCCTACCTTTTGCTTGAAGACTATGGGCAGCCTCAAATGAGGCAGGCAGAGGCTTTACAAGATAATACCAACTCTTTCTGGATGTGCCTCCTTCTCCTCTGTTGGTCACATAAACAGCAACTAGGATTATATCTCAGCATAACCCAGTGGCCAAAGCATTGAGCTTACAAAGGAAGAAGACAAATTATTTGCTCAGAGAGTTGCAGGACTAGCTAAGAAGCACAACACTAATTAGGAAAGTATTCCTGAGAGTGAATTCTGAAGGTGTTGGATACAGAGGTGTGGAGTAGAAAATAACGTTGAATAAGGAAGAGTATGTTAATATGGAGGATCTTCCTGTGATACAGAACTTAACACCCTGGAAGGGTTCTAATACACTTCTTGGAAGCTTGAAAAACAATGCCTCACATTTAATCTAGTAGAGGTGTCATACTACCATGGCAGACTGGTAGAAGTAATCAAAGGCTCAGATCAAAGGCATTCTAGAAAGGATTTATTGTATAAATCTTGAAAATTCACTTGCTTCTTTTCTTTTTTTTTTAATTTCAGAATATTATGAGGGTACAAACATTTTGGTTACATATAATGCTTTTGCCTTGCCCAAGCCGGGGCTACAAGCATGCCCTTCCCCCATACAGTGCGCTCTGTGAAAGAGTCAAGAGAACAGTCCATTTCTGAAGGGGGCACCAGTATTATTTAGAAGCTCATACTGGTCTTACTCTGTAGGCTGAAGTTAGTTGCAGAAAACACTGTAACAGAATTTGGTCCTATTGAAAGATATTCTTCAGCTCTCAGACTTTCAGGGATTATCTCAGCTGCAGGGAGCTGCCCACCCATGGTCACTCCCCTTACTGATTAATGCAGGTATAAAGGCCTGGTCACCTTGGCACAACTCAGGCCAATTCTGCATGGCTATTTTAGCTATCTTCCAGAGACATTTATCTGGAGATCCCTATGGGATTGGTGAAGGCTGAATTAGAGTTTGCATTCTTCTCATCAGTCCTGCTTCCTTCACCCCCCTCTTTCCACAGGTATTGATCCCAAGAGAATTCCTTAATAAACATCTCATATTCTAAATCCCATAACTGAGCCTACTCCTAGGGGAACTTAGCCTGTGACAGATCTCAAGGGGATTTCCTGTGACTAGGTGAAAGAAGGATATAAAACTTGGGCTTGGTTCACAGATGAGTTGGCTTGGCATGTTGGTGCAACCTAAGATGAATAGTCCATGCATTATACTTCTACTCAGGTGTGACCTTGAAAGACAATGATGAAGGGAGGAAACCAGCTAGTAGGTAGAGCTTTGGGAAGAGTTCCTACTTATTAACCTGTGTAGTGAGAGAAGTGGTTTATGGTAACAGCATTCATGGATTCATAGACACTAACAAATAATTAGACTCTTATCCAGGGATATGGAAGAAACAATATTGTGAGGTCAAAGTCAAAAAGGTTTGAGAGAAGACATGTAGCTGGATCTGTGGGAGTAGAAAGAAAGTGCAAAGCTCTCTTTATTGCACACTAAATCAGATCCATTGTAGAAGAGGCACTAAACAACCAAATGAACAGGATAACTTGGCCAGTTGGTATTAGCCAGCCCCTGTCGTTGACCATGACAATGATGGCACCATGGGGATTTGAATGGAGGAGTCATGGTGGCAGAGATGAACTCTAAGTATGTGCCCAAGAACATGTGCTGTGTCTCACTAAGGCCTGTTTAACTAATTACTGCTGCTGCATGGCTGACCTGTCAGCAGCAGACACTAATGCCACTAACCCCCAAAGAGACTAATCAACCACTTGTGCCAATTTGATTTTGTGGGACCCTTTCCATCTTGAAAAATGTAGAATTTATCCTGACAAAGATTAATATACAGGGGTCCACCTTTCTTTCCTACATAACTTTAACCAACATCATTATCCGTGGACACATGGAGTATTTTATTTACTGACATGAGATTCTGCATAATAACATCTCAGACCAAGCAATCCATTTATTCTTTTTTTTTTTTTTGGCAAAGGAGGTAGAGAAGTGGGCACATGACTGTAGGGACTATGTTAGTCTATTTTGGGTAGCTATAACAGAATACCTGAGGCTAGAAAGTTTATAAAGAAAAGAAGTTTATTTGGTTTGTTATGCAGGCTGTCCAAGAAACATGGCAATAGCATCAGCTTGGCTTCTGGTGAGGGCTTTTGTGCTGCATCAAAACCTGGAGGAGAGAAAGTAAAAGGAAAAGCAGGCACGTGTGAAGATGTGCCAAACGGGAAGCCCTCTTGCTTTATAACAGCCCACTCCAGTGGGAACTAATCCATTCCCATGAGAACTAACCCCATCTCTCCAGAATGAGAATTCACTCACTACCACTAAGAGAACACCACTAAGCCTTTCACAAGGGATCTGCCCCCACGACCCAAATGCTTCTCACTAGGCTCAACTCTGTCACATTGAGGATCAAATTTCAAAATGAGGTTTGGCGGGGACAGACAAAACTTATCCAAATCATAGCAGGGACTATTGGTCCCATCACCTAGTGCACGTGCTGCTGTCCTGATAGAAGTGTAAAATGACTTTTAAAAGATGCAGATCAGGCACCAATTTGGAGATGATACCTGGAAACAATGGGGCATTATTTTTGAGAATGTGGTGTACTCCTTAAACCGAAGTCCATCAGGTGGTGCTATATCAGCAAGAAGTAGAATACATGGTGTTATGGACCGAATTGTGTATGCTTTATCTCTCCATTTATATATTGAAGCCTTAACTTCCATTGTGACTATATTTAGACATAGGACTTTTCAAGAGATTTTAAGGTTAAATGAGGTCATAATCCAAATGACTAATGGCCTTATGAGAATAGGAAGAGACAACAGGGGTGTGTACACACATAGGAGAGGCCATGTAAGGGCATAGCAAGAAGGTGCTGCAAATCACAGAGAGAGGCCTCAGGAGAAACCAACTCCGCCAGCAGCCTGATCTTCTAGTTTCCAGGACTTCTAGTTTCCAGAATTGTGAGAAAATAAATTTCTGTTATTTAAGCTACCCAGTCTGTAGAGTTTTGTTATGTCAGCCCTAGCAGACTGATATAGGTGGCTTTGGGAACTAAAGAGTTAAAGTAGGAGTGGCCATACTCACCTTCACTCCCCAGTGACCACTTGGGGAATTTGTGCTTCCTGACCCTGGCATTTTAAGCTCTGTGAGTCTAGAGGTCATAGGTTTCTAGAGGGAGGGGGGTCCCTTCCAGCTGTGGCTACATTAAGATTCCTACTACTATGCATGTAATGCAAAGGCACAGTTGCCACCTGGCTGCTTTGGGCATCATGTGCCAGTAGGCCAGCAAACACAATGTCTGGAGTAATGGACTCTTATCTTCTTTGGAGTCAGGACTGCTAGGAACAGGGAAGAACTCATTTGGCACTCAGGTGATCCACTGGGCAGGGTAGGGAAGGTGTCTCTGGATTCTTCCATGCTCATTTATACCTGTGAATGGTCTCAGGTGCAGCAATCTTGACTTTCCTAATAAGGACATCACACAAGGGCTCAACCCTCGGGGATAAGGCTCTGTGTTACTCCACTAGGTAAGCCACTTAGGCCAGTAGACTTGTATGTGGGGAGTGTGTGTGTGTGTGTGTGTGTGAGAGAGAGAGAGAGAGAGAGAGAGAGAGAGAAGAGAGAATGGGTGACAGAGGAGAGAGATGAGTATCAGTTTTTGCCACAGGACTGACTGCAGAAGCTAGTAAGTTCATTCAAGAATTTTGATGACAGTAACGTGGAGAATCAGTGCCTGGATGGAGTAAACTTAATGTGAGAAACAAATGCATTTAAGTGGATGCTATAGATCAGTCATCCCCAGTGTTTTTGGCACCATGGACTGGTTTCTTGGAAGATAATTTTTTCATGGACCAGAAGGGTAGGGGCATGGTTTTGAGGTGATTCAAGCATATTACATTTATTGTCCATTTTATTTCTAATATTATTATATTGTCACTTACCACTTGCTGATAGTGGTTTTGATATGAGTCTGCAAAGAGTTGTTTTATTATGTCTCTGTGCAGTCAAACCTCTCTGCCAACGATAATCTGTATTTGCAGCCACTCCCCAGCACTAGCATCACTGCCTCAGCTCTACCTCAGATCATCAAGCATTAGATTCTCATAAGGAGCTGGCAACCTAGGTCCCTGGCATGCACAGTTTATGGTAGGGTTCAGGCTCCTCTGAGAATCTAATGCCACCGCTGATCTGACAGGAGGCGGAGCTTATGCCAGTGTGTGAGTGATGGGGGGGCAGCTGTAAACACAGATGAAGCTTTGCTTGCTTGCTCATCCCTCACCTCCTGCTGTGTGTTCCTAAGCAGGCCACACGTGTGCAGCCCCAGGGGTTGGGGACTGCAGCTGATCTAGGTGATCTAGGCAGATCCCCTTGATGAGGGCCCGTTTGTTGTCTGTCAGCAGGTGGGGTTGTTGCCTACTCACAGCTCACTGCCGCCCCCTTCCTTGGAGACTTGTTCTCAGCTGTGGGTGCTGCCTCCCCTAGGAGGTTATACACCTCCTACCATCCACGGAAGCCACAGCTAAGACTGAATAAGAGGACGTACAATTTACTGTCCTGCTAGTCTTAAGGAGGGGCATTTTCATGGTGCAGTTTATGCTTCAGACCCCCTCTTCCCACCCATGTTGAGGATCAGGCCAAGGCTAGGTAGGCTTCACTTAAGACCACATCTTTGCCCAGGTTTTTCCTGTCCTGTTTTTTTTTTTTTTTTTCGGCATATTATGGGGGTACAGATTTTAAGGTTTCAATAAATGCCCTTCCCCCCTCCCCCCACAAGTCTGAGTTTCCAGCATGACCATCCCTCAGATGGTGCGCATATCACTCGTTATGTATGTATATACCCGCCCCCTCTCCCCCTTCCCCCCCTCCCCAATACCCTATTACTGTAGTACCTATGTGTCCACTTAGGTGCTACTCAGTTAATACCAGTTTGCTGGAGAATATATCTGGTGCTTGTTCTGTTTTTATCCCTCCTTCACAGGCTTTGCCTGAAGATGATGCCCTCAGTATGTCTTGTGCATTCAATTTGTTTTCTCAGGCTCCGCTTCTAGGGAACTGGACCTAAGACAATTAATAATAAAATAAATTCAAGAGGAAATATCAGTAAGCAGCTTCTCTGAGCCCAGCACTCTGTGGGTGTACAATGACATGAGACACAGCCTCTGTTTCCATCGAGCTCACCATCTAGCTAAGAAGTGAAAATATAGGTGTGTGCACAACTTAAACAACTTGCATCACTTTGCTAAATCTAAGTACTAAATCGACAAGAGGCAAGATTTGAGGTTAGCAAACAGAAGTGTCTTCCTCAGAGATCATACTCTGAGGGAGTATGAGGAAGAATACTTCCTCAAAGTATTAATAACTATCAACATGCTTGTTATTTAAAGGAATTTTCACTACCATAATCAGAGAAGTTGTTTATGGTTGACAATATATATTAAAACAATGGAGTTGGTAGGATGTTAATTTACCACATTAATAAGAGTTGAAATCATGTATAGAAATTTCCAAAATTTAGAGTTGGAATTGATACTCTTATGCCATAAGGTATTTATTCAGAACTGAACTAAGGCTAAAAGCATAGTGCCTAGTGCCATTGTACAATCAGAGGACAGAACACGTTTCTTTTCCCTGGGAACTGTCAGATAGCAACCATAGGTGGCAATGCAAGCTCAGCTGTAGCACTCTAAGCTTCCTGTCTGCGCCAGCTGAAACTGTCCTTTTAAAGTATTGCTGTTGTATTATTCTTGTTTAAAACAGTCTGAATCTTTACAGTTCCACAATGCTTTAAAGTGTATAATTACTTTAATTTAGGTTTTGGAGTAAACCATATGTAGAAATATAAAACAATTGAACCTAAAGAAGAATATTTTATAAAGATGCAAAAACCAAGTGGGGATGGAGAGGGTTTGAGTTTACAGTTGACACAAAGGTAGAATAGAAGTTTGTAGCTAGTATCCTAAGAATCTAGTCTGTTTCACTAATTTTTGTTTGTCAAATTCCTGATTCCGTAAAAGACAAGTCCGTGGAAGTACAAACTGATTCTTATTTAAACTTCACTATATTTTTAAATGATTTTGGTGTTTGAATATTGTGAATGAAGGGACAATTAAAAAAATAGTTCTCACAAATAATTTTAAGAGACAAAGGCATTTGATATATTTCTGTTCTCTTATTTTAAGGCACCAGAGTCAATGTACCAACAACATATGCATATGGATGTATATTGATGAGTATGATCTTCCTGCCCATCATTATAAAAATTTCTTTCCTAGTTGAACTCTTAATGAAATGATGAGAAAATTTGAGGTGAACATTTAGCAGTCTATTTTCATTTTGTTTCATCAAAAAGAATCTATTTTACAATTACTATTTACTTGCAATAACCTGCAGCAAAAAATGATTTAATGTTCAATATGTGCATTAAAATGCACTTGCTTTTTTTAATATGTAAAAGCTGATGGAAATTTCATTTAAGTACAATTCCTGTATCACAGATTTTAAGCAAAATGAAAGGAAGTTAGGGTACCATTTTAACACGGCTATAAAAATAATTTCTTTCAGTGGCTGGAGGGAAGGAAGGATTGGTCAAAGTAATTTTTATCTTCGATGGGATTCCCCAGTAGCCTGCTTTTTTATTTGGCTTAATGCATGCCACAATAATCATGCTATTTCTTGCTAGCATTTTTCTAGCTCTCAGTAATAAGAATAATTGCATGGTGTTTATATTCTAAAGTGCTTTTTCTCACTAAGCTCTGAAGTCCTTTTTGAGTATTAATTCTCACAAGATTTCTGTGTGGCACCAAGCATGTGTATTATTATCTTGTTATTCCCCTTTTAACAACAAGGATGTGAGGCACAGATGCAGTAAATGATACACAAGACAGAGTCAGGATGCCAGAAACAGATTAAGAATCCTGACTTCCAGTTCAAAAGCCAGACCATGCTTTCTAGGAATTAATGCACTTGATTGAATTCTGGCAATTAGTAGTTATCTTTTAAGTCCTAGTTTTTACTCCTAGCACATTAACATTGATAGGAAGAATTTAATAACTTGGACTAGGTTAATTCTATTGCAATGTAGGTAATACAGACTGTAAACAAGCAAGTTATAAATAACTATAATAATAGGAATGACAATAATTTGAAGTGCAAATATTTAATGGCATAGATATAGAATTCACAATGATTAAAACAAACAAACAAACAAACAAAGAAAAACTTTTAAATAACAGCCAGCCTGAAGGCTGATAGGAACAAAAAGAATAATTTCAATATAGAACCAAGGCTTTTTAAATTTATTGGATAGGACTCAAAAGTGTTCATATAGTTCTGAAACACAACATTTACACAATATGTATTATTTAGTAAGTACATTAATAATACTTTATAAGAATTTCTATTTTAATCTGTTTAAAAGTGTGGCTATAGCATTATAATTATAGCTATTATAAGAGTTCTTATCTTGTAGTGATATTGTCTAAAAGATATCTATTCTTTAGCTTACAAATAAAATAGTTTGAGGTTTGTGATTTACTTCAAAGTGATCTGGGAGATGTGAGGGAATATAGTAAATAAGATTGGCTATTATTTGATAATTATTGAAGCTATATAATATATATATATGGGTCATATATTTCTATATTTTTTATTTTCTACAATAAAATATTAAAATAATAAAATTATTTTAATAAAATATTAAAAATATTATAGATTTTCTATAATAAAAATGTTTTTAATGTAAAAATATCATACCCATGTATGTTAGATAAGCGATCTGTTATAGAAAATAGATTTCATCTTTCTGGAACTTAGCTATATGGGAGCTTCATCTATTAAGAACATAGTCAAGAAAAAAACTCTACAAAAGAACATAGTCAAGAAAAAAACCCTACAAAAATGGGTTCTCAGATGTCAATGTGAACTTTGTAAATAATATCCTGTCACACTATTTGAACTATTATAATAAAAGATGCTACTTAACTATGTTTTAGAGAATTAACAGATTGAGCAGTCACAGACTTAGGATCAAATACTTATGCTACAATTTACTAATTTGGAAATTTATTTCAATTCTTCATCTCCTCATATATAAAATGAATATGATAATATCTACCTTAAAGGGTTTTAACGAAGTTTGCATGTGATTAAAGTTTTGCCTGGGACTTGCTAAGTGTTATATAAATGGTAACTAATAATTCAAAGCTCGATTATCTAGTTTTTAAGACCATAGGAAATTAAATCCAGAGACAGCTACATGATTTTCAATGAAGAATGATACCATTGCCGAAAACCTACAAAAACATGGTCAGAAAAAAGTCTATAAGGGGAAATAAGCTAATTTATAAAGACAAGAAATCGAGTCTCCTTTAATATGGTGACCCAGAGACCTACATTCGTTGGTAAAGCTTGTGTATGTCTTTGTACTATAACACAGGACAATAAGTGATAAAATGATCATCAAGAATTACTGAGTCAGAGTAATAAATACTAGCTGTTACAACACACAAACCTAAAATCTCAGTGACAAAAGATTGCTTCCCACTTATGACACTGTGGGTCAAGAGGTTCTGAGGGCAAGGTGGGGGGAGGTCTTCATCCAAATTCCTTTTTTTTTTTGGCTCCATCACACCCTGGATGTCTTTGGAATTCTCTGAAGGACTCTCTACATTTGTTTTAGTCAGTGAGTTAAAGAAGAGAGGCTCCACGGAGGATTGCATGAGATATTTAGGAATCATGCCTGAAAGTGAAGTCCATTAGTTCCACCAGCATTCCACTGGTCATGCACCCAGGTAGCTACATGGGGCTTGGGAGGTGTAGTCTTCCTGTGTCCATGGTACAGGGACAACAGACCATTGTCTTCGCTAAGAAAGAAGAGTCTCATCAGTTCTAGGAAGTTTTATACAAAATATAGGTTGAGTTGTGTATCCATATGTAACCTCTGCTGGACCATAAGCTCTCTGAAACTGGGGACATGACTTGATAGACTTCCAACTAGTGCTCAGTAAATAGTTTCTGGTAACTAGTATGTTTGTTAAGTAAATTAACCCAGAAAGACTAGTTTCTTGAAGGTTCCGTATAATGTTATATGTATGGTATTACAGTTTGGAAATGAGCCTGTCTGTCATATATTAAAGAGAAATTAAGTTGTAACAAAAACAATTCAGCATGGTCTTGAATACCTATACACATTAGTTGAATAATAGAATTTATACAGTTTCCTGTATTTGAAATATTAAAAACTTTTTAGATATCTTACTGGATCACATAGAATTACTTCCTTAGTTATTGGGCGGGAATTTTTGTAAAGATGATAGAAATAAATATGGATTATATAAAATTCTAAAAAAGGAAACAGTATTTACATAAAACATTTTTTGTTTGTTCTCTGCCTACAAAAATTATCTGAAAGATATTTCATTTTTCTAAGTATTCTTTTCCTCCTAAAGCTAGAGAGAAATGAGAATTTGATTCATTTACCGAAAAAAAAAAAAAAAAGAATCATTTAAAATTCATTGGCACATAGAGGGCAGCAGAACAGATTAGTATCACAGGCAGTGCAGGAAGTATTGGAGGTAGAAGAATCACCAACAGACAATGACAGAGACCCCAGAGACTCAGCAGCAGTTTGTTGTTTGCTATTGAGACTTTGGACAATACCATAAGGATTAAGTACTCTTCATGCTATTTATAGGTCTCATGTTTGGAGATGGGTCAGACTGATGAGAGTTATAGACAATGACATAATTTTGGAAAAAGACATTAGAGTGAAAAAGATGAATAAATGTTTTTGTAAGCAATAGTGACAACAATAAAACAATAATAAAACCATTTAAATGAGAGAATTGCATTGGAATGTACTCTAGATGTTTTAGATATTTTTTCCATCTCTATCATTCACTTTGGTGAATCTGACTTCAGATCAAAAGTCTTATCTCTGTCTACAACACAGAATTTTAAAAAATGAATGTTGATACACAAAACACAAAAATTATAGCTGAAAGTAAATGGTTATTTTCACTTATTTAAGATAAGTACCTGGACCTCAGTGAAATTTGGAAACTGATGGAAAAATATTGAGAAAGTAAATAAAGTTGTATAAAGGCAGGGTTTAAAATAGTTGATTTTTATTGGTGTATGGAAATGCTACTGATTTATGTACATTGATTTTGTTACCTGAGACTTTGCTGAATTTATTTATCAATTCTAGGAATCTCTTGGCAGAATCTTTGGGGTTTTCTAGATACAAGATTATATTGTCAGCAAAGAGTGATAGTTTGATCTCTTCTTTCTTTATTCGGATACCCTTGATTTCCTTCTCTTGTCTGATTGCTCTGGCTAGAATTTCCAGCACTATATTGAATAGAAGTGGAGACAGTGGACAATCCTGTTTAGCAATTCCACTATTGGATATTTATCCAAAGGAAAAAAAGCCATTTTATTGAAAAGATACTTGCACTTGAATGTTTATTGCTAAAAAGTTCACAGTTGCAAAGATGTGGAAATAATCCAAGTACTAATCAATTCACGAGTGAATTAATAAAATATGGCATATATATATATATATATATATATATATATATATATCTCACAGAGTACTACTCAGACATTTTAAAAAAATGGTGAACTAATACCTTTTGTAACATCCTAGATGTAACTGGAGACCATTCTTCTAGGTAAAGTATCACAAGAATGGGAAAACAAAAACCACGTGTACTCACTATTAAATTAGAACTAATTGATCAATACTCACATTCACATATGGAAGTAAAATTCAACAGAAATCAAGCAGGTGGGAGGGGGAGGAGCAGATTGGTAAAAATCACACCTAATAGGTACAATGTACACTATCTGGTGATCGGCACACTTATGACTTTGACCCAAACTATACAAAAACAATTCAGATAGCCAAAATATTTGTACCCCCGTAATATTCTGAAATCAAAAAAGAAAAAAAAATAGTTGATTTTTTTTAGAAGACTTTAGATTCAGTATCATTTTCTTAAAAATTCAAAACCATATTTGTCAGAGCCCTGGTGTAAAGCATCTGAGAAATTTGCTGCCAAAGATATTTGCCCATCTCAAAACAAACAAAAAAAGAACACATTAGGCATGGTAATAGAGATTGTGTTGGATATGAGAGATTGGTTACATACTGTCAGTAGAAATGGAATTCAATTGAGATTCTAAAATTTCTGAAATAAGATACACTGACTTTGTATTATTACAAATTGAAATTATTGGTTGGGCTTAATGGCGATTGGCTTCTTTAAAGTAACTAAATTGATGACAAAAAGTGAAAGTCTGTTTTTAGGCTCTTTTCGTGTCTTTCACCACCTAAAACATATCTATGCATAATTAATTTTAAAATGCATGCTTTTTATATCCTATCCCACAGTTATTTACAGAGTTTAACTCCAAAAGGGAAATATAAAAAATTATTTCTAAGGTGTTACCCTGCACATACACAGATACTCACTTTAAATATACATCCGCGAAATGAATAAAGGTTATATATTAATGTTGATATAGACTTGCTTCTTTAATATCAAAAATTAGTCATTTTTTTCTAATTTTATTGAAATCAACCAATATCTTAAATGTGTCATTTAGCCAGCTGACACAATCTGAAATGCTTTCATGTTCAGTATAGGTGGAGTTAAGTGTAAAGCTTTGTACTGCTTTCTGCTTTCTTTCATGAATAGAATTTAATTGTCCTAAGGTAATGGTGCAAATTTACAGTATCCATAAAAGCGCTGTTATTCTATTGCTTTGCCTAATGCACTAGGAAAGAACACTTGGCAGACACCACATATCTACAAACGAACAAAATGCACTAAAATCAAAATTGCATTACTTTTGTCAATAATTTGTGTTATAATTTTTATGGCAAATATTAATGGAAAGAATCCCTTAAATAAAAATGAGTCTGACGTTTTCCTTTTGTTGTTGCAGCTCTGATTGTATTTACATCCAGTCATTTATTGCCCATTAAAGGAGTAATGCTATGTTAATGTAAGGGGGAAAAAAATCAATGCTACTGAGATCAGTAGCTGTGGGGAAACAGTGCGGCAGCTGGTTTGCAAACAGTGAGCCCATATAGATCAATGAAATTACAAGCTAAATCTGCTGATGCTCACAACTGCTCCAGCAGTACGCTGTCTAACCTTTTTCAAGTTCAAGAGCTCTAGAAAGCCAGAGATAACTAAATGGAAAGCAGGTCAAAGGCAACCAAGAGACAGTGACAATGTACCTGGGATATTATACTATGATATGTGATATTTTACTTCTGCAGCTACCAAGGTAACTACACATTTTAACCTATAGAAAAGCCCTATAATCTGTCACTTAGTTACATGGGGAGCCTTCACAACCCAGAATATCTCTACCTTAAGAGAGTTCTTGGACCTGGAATATCAAAAGACTATACAATACTTCACAAATCTGCTTGTTAAGCTAAATTCTAGAAAATATTAATCAGTGAGCTAATGTTGAAATTTTAGAGTGTATGTAGTGTTGGGTTTGGTGACATTATGGTCTCTACAATTTTCATTATTATAAAGATAATATTATATAAATTCAGCCTCATCTTCCTGATGATCAGTCAATTATCAGATAAATATTAATATTTTTAAAAAGATAACAAGTTTTCACCTCAATGAAGTGATTCTGTGTCAGTTAAAATGCCATTAATGTTTTTCCCTTTAACTATTGAATTTTCAACTTTTCTTTTAACCTAGACTTATGTTGGCACTCAGCTGTATTTTGACTGAATTTCCTGAGACACACAAAAACTTTTAACATGAGTGTTAACTGACATAGTGAGAAGGACAGTTGGTATTTACAGAAGAGGATCATCAAAATGTGTTGATGAATTTAAAAGACTAAGTTGGCTTTGTTTAGAATTAGAAGGGATCTTTGACATTGGCACATGTAACATCATTTTTCTATCACCTGGACGAGATAAATGACTTTCCCAAGATTATACATCTATTAAATGGCCACTTCAAAACTCATCCAGGCGTTTCCAGGCCAAGGGTAGTACTATTGCCATCCCATGATGCTACCACTAACATTGATTTGGGTGGGAAGAAAGGAAGAGAATGTAGAAGGGAGCAAAAAGTAGAATAAATATTTACTTGGGATGCTTTTATTCAAGTGTCCACAGACGTAATAGGAATATTAAAATCATACATGAAATTAATCACAAAATGCTATTTCTATTAAATTGCTCTTAATCATATTGTTGATAAAAAGAACAAAAAAGATGTGTTTCCTCTTCCTCCCTCCTTAAATCAATCAAAGAAAATTAAAAAAAAAAAAAAAGCAGTGTTTACAGGGTCAACTGAAGTCTAGCTTGTCAGCAAGCCTGACTATACCCCATCTCCTTCACAGATATGCTCTGAGTAAAATGTCCTGAAAGACACAAGACACGCTTTCTTTGAGCCCTAGTTCAGTAATTATATTGATTTAAATCATTCTGTCTGTCTCAATCCTTTAAGATAGTGACACACAAGTGACACGATCTTTGCAGGACTGACTCACTATATAATGGCAGAAATCTCAGCCAAATAGCATCAGTTGATAACTTTCATATTTCAGGTCCCTGTATTTAAATCTACCTTGATTTTTACATTCAAAACAAAGATTTTCTTGGTATAGTTCTCTAAAAGCTAATACAATTTTTAGCAGGTGAGATAAATATGAGTTTTTCCCTTCTCTATGTAAAGAATAATCATACTTGAGATAAATTGTTACATTCTGGGGGGTCTATACATTTAAAAAATAATGCCAACAATAATAAAACAGTAGATATTATCTCTTAAGTAATTTTATAATAAACTAAACATGAGCAACAGCTGCATTTTACTTGCTAATGTTTTAGGTAGTGTAAACCTTGCTGAATTTACAAAGTGTTGCAATTTTATTTTATAATATATTACTCTCGTGTTTCCAGTTCTTCAAAGTACATTTATTTCCACATTCTGATATCTTCATATGAATATTGTGAAGTAGATAGATTGGATATTATTACCTCCAGTTCAGTCCTGATACTTTCAGTACTTGGCCCTTTCAGATACTTCTTTCAGATACTTTCAGATACTTCTACCCTTGGCCAGATTTCAGAGAATGTCTGATCAAGATAAAGAGAGAGGCTAAGTCATTTGCCTGAAGTCACTTGTCAACCATTCAGATATGAGAACTCAACTCCTAGCAACAAACTCTATTATGTCATTATTGCCCCTATTTTATGCTTTGAATTGGAATCTGTGAGGTAAGAGAAAAACTGAAGCATGAGAAGAAAAATTTTAGCTATGTCTTGCTCCTCATACATGATTATACTGATGATTATGATGACTCTAAGAAAGAAACAAGGCACTCAGTGTCTTTTAACTTTAGTAAGCAAGGAAATTTATATTTTGAAAATAACTTCCCAGGACTTTTTCAGGAGCAACGTGCCAACATTTGCAGAGCATCACAGAATTATGATAAAAGTCTGCATAAAGAAGACAAAAAATAATTAAATACACAGCCATGTTTTACTCTAGCTGTGAATGATGGTTGATGGAGCAGCATGAAAGTATCATGGAGTTAATTATACTGGCACCATTGGGGAGACATTTCCAGATAGTTCTTGATCTGGAGATGATACTTTTCCCAGCTAAAAGCTGGAGAAATTTCTATATTTCTCATCTCTCACCACCATCACCAAAGAGCAGTGATGTGCTGGGGAGGTAGACAGAGGGCAAAGAGAATGCAGTGGCTACAACTGGCAGTTTGCAGAAGGTACATTGAAGGGAATGAGAACCCCATAGTTTTCAACACTTCAGTGATCACTACTGCCTGCCCTTTCCGTGTGCCGTCTTGCACTATTTAGGAAGTGAAAGGTCCAATTTTAGGTACTGATCTAGGATCGTACTCAAATGACACACTAATCTCAAACAGTCTGACCAAATGGCTTTGGATTCCAGCTTCTTCCTGCTATGGACCTCCTTCTTGTTCTGACAACCCAGTTATACTCTCTTTTCTGGTTTATAGACATTCCTCTTTACTTCATTTTTGATTTCTTTTGAACACCCCTGCTTACGGAGACATCCATAGCTCAGCAGCAATTCCTCCCTCTGGTTGGTTCATACTTGCAGAACTGACAAAGCTGAGCTTGCTCTCCCAGCCTCCCTCTCTACTAAAGACACAGATTGGATATGTTTAATAAATGAGTAAGAATAGTAATGAGAACTAAATATTTTATTTGATTAAGACTTAGTTTGAACTTTGAGCAATTGCAAAGCAGAAAAACTAGGCAGTTTATATATTTGACTAATAATACCAAGGAATACATGTAGCAAGAAATACCACAAAGGATATGCAAAAAAAAGAGAGAGTCAGGTTTTCCACTCTAATATGGCATTTTCCTCGACTTATGAGGTGCATAGCATGAGCATTTGGATCTCTGTGTAAAAAGGGTGCCCCAAAGATTATTCCTTGAGGGTTAGGCGGTGAATTGATGATTGTGTTTACCCACTTTTCACTCAATACACAAACCTCACTATAGATACCTGTTCTCATTCTTCCATCATTTATGGACTCTTCTCATTCTAGTGATCCCTTTGACACTCTCTAAGAACATACTGATTTTCTACCCTGACTATGCTGCTGTGGGTTAAATATTCTCTGTACTTCTGAGGCTCTGTCCCATAAGTGGGGCAACTACCAGACAAGACCTAAGCAAAAACAACAGAATGATAAACTAAAGGGAAAAGGGACAGAGACTTTATTTTAATTCATTAATGATTAATGGTTTTATAAATTCTTTTTTTCATAAGGATTGTTTATTATTAGAGATGTATATTATGTGTAATAACAATTGGTATGTTTGCCTGGGTTGACTCTTGGGAAAATGTACATAATTCATTTCATAGTGTGACTTTTTATTTATTCTCAACTAATTCATTTGTCTACATTATGTAGCTCTGAATTAACATAATCTATTAAGAATGGCTAAAAAAATAAAAGAAGTATCTGAACTAGATGGAGACCATTAAATAATTATAATCATAGTTCTGGTATTGTACAGAAAAAGAAAAGATAAACTGCCCTTTCTCAGCATGCTGCCTTAATAAGACCTCATCTTGTCTGTGCCATTCTTCTCAGTTTCAGAATATAGTCAAGATATTCTTTCTCTTTCAATAGGTTCCACATAAGACTCATTTGTTGAATGAGGAAATTGAGTGATGGTGTGGATATGTAGCTCTAACCAATGTTTATGCAAATAAATGCTGTTAGAAATATATTTAGACTGTTTAAATCTTTTTAGAAATTTATATCAACTTTATAATACATTAAATTTGATCAGTTTTGATGGAGGTATACACCCATGAAATCACTTCCACAATCAAGTACAGAACATTTCATCATCCCCAAGAGAGTTCTTGTGTCCTATTGCCCCATTGGAGACTATTCTTCCTGTTACTCACTGCTCCAGGCAAGCAAGCATTGATTTTTTTTAAATATATTGTAGATTAGCTAGTGCTTTTAAGAATTTTATATAAATAGATTGTGCCTTTGACTGTCACTCAAGATAATGATTTGAGGTTGATTCTTGCTGTTGGGTGTATCAATAGTCCCTTTCTTTTTATTGCTGAGTAGTATTTCATTATATGAAAACATGACATTTTGCATAACCACTCAGATGTTGATTGACAACTGGATTGTTTACAGTTTTGAATATTGTGAATAAAGATGCTATTAATATTTTGAATATTTTGCATAAGACTTTGTGTGGATATATGTTTTTATTCCTTTGTGAAAATAACTCAGTGGAATGGCTGGGTCATAGGATACGAATATATTTAACTTTTTATGAAACTGACAAACATTTTTCCTAAGTGGTTATACCATGTTAAATTCTCATGAGTAGTATATGAGAATTCTAGTTACTGCCTATCATTACCAAGGATACTGTACTGTAAGTCATTTTGAATTTAGCCATTCTCGTGGGTGTACCATGGCATCTCATTATGGCTTTAATGTGCCTTTCTCTGATGACTAGTGATGATGGGCATATTTTGTTGCACTTATTAGTCCCTCATATATTTTCATTTGTAAAGTGTTATTAAGTATTTTGCCCATTTTATTGAGTTGTAATCTTATTGCATTGTACATGTTCTTTTTGTAATACTAGTTCTTTGTCAAATATATGTATTGCAAAATTTTCTCCTACTCTATGACTTGCCTTTTTATTTTTTGAAAGTAGCTTTCAAAGAGCAAAACTTTTTAATATTGATAATATAGATTTTATCATTTTTTATGATTTGTGTTTTCTGTGTTTTAAGAAATCATTGCCTCTTGCAGTATACATATTTTTAAAATGTTTGCTTCTAGAAGTTTTCTAATTGTTGCTCTTTTAATATTGTATATATTTTATTTTTTGTTTACTTATTTTTATTTCATAATTTTATGGGAGTACAAATGCCTTGGTCACATAAATTGCTTTTGCACTGCCCAAATCAGAGCTACAAGTGTGCCCATCAGCCCGACAGTGAGCACCTCAACCGTTGGGTGTGAATTTTCCCATCCCCTTCTCTCCTTTGCACTTGCCCGACACTCCATGAATATTAGTTACCTCCAGATGTGCACATAACTGTTGATTGATTAGTAACAATTTAATGGTGAGTACATTTGGTGTTTGTTTTTCCATTATTGTGATACTTCACTTAGAAGAATGGGCTCCAGATCTATCCAGGATAATATGTGAGGCATTAGTTTCATCATTTTTTATGGCTGAGTAGTACTTCATGGTATACATATACCACATTTTATTAATTTACTTATTATGTATTGATGGGCACTTGAGTTGTTTCCACATATTTGCAATTGTCAATTGTGCTGCTATAAACATTTGAGGGCAGATGTCTTTTTTATGGAATGTCTTTTTTTCCTTAAATACCCAGTAGTGGGATTGCTGGATCAAAAGGTAGTTCTACTTTTTGTTGTTTGAGGTATCTCCATATTACTTTCCATGGAGGTTGTACTAGTTTGCAGTCCTACCAGCAGTGTATGAGTGTTCCTATCTCTCTGTATCCATGCCAACATTTATTGTTTTGGGACTCTTTGATAAAAGCCATTCTCATTGGAATTAAGTGATATCTCATTGTGGCTTTGATTTGCATTTCCCTGATGATTAGAAATGTGGAGCATTTTTTCATATGTTGTTGGCCTTTATCTTCTTTTGAAAGTTTCTGTTCATGTACATTCCCATTTTTTAATGGAGTTGTTTGATTTTTTTCTTGATACTTTCCTGAGTTCTATATAGATTCTAGTTATCAGCCCTTTATCAGATATATAGCATGCAAATATTTTCTCCCATTCTGTAGGTCATCTGTCCACTCTAATGATAGTTTCCTTAGCTGTGCAGAAGCTTTTTAATTTGATCAGGTCCCATTTATTTATTTTTGTTGCTGCTGTGATTGCTTTTGGGATCTTTTTCATAAATTCTTTGCCTCGACCAATGTCTATAAGAGTTTTCCCAACATTTTTTTCTGTAATTCTTATGTTTTCATGCCTTAGGTTTAAGTCTGTTAACCATCATGAGTTGATTTTTGTGAGCAGTGAGAGGTGTGGATCCTGTTTCAGTCTTCTACATGTGACTATCCAATTTTCCCAGCACCATTTATTGAATAAGAATTCTTTTCCCCAGTGTATATTTTTGTCTGCTTTGTCAAAGATTGGATGGCTATATGAGGATGGTATAATATGTGGGTTCTCAGTCCTGTTCTATTGGTCTATGTCTCTGTTCTTGCGCCAGTACCAGGATGTTTTGGTGACTATACCGTTATAGTGTAGCTTGAAGTCTGGTAAATATTCAGGTCTGTGATCCATTCAGAATTATAGGCATACCTTGGAAATATTGTGGATTTGGTCCCAGGTTTCCCAGTACATATAAGAGTTATGTTTATACTATACTGTAGTCTAGTAAGTTTGCAATAGTGGTATGTCTAAAAAATGTACATAGCTCAATTGCAAACTACTTTATTGCTAAAAATGCTAATGATTGCCTGAGCCTTCAGAAAGTCATAATCTTTTTACTGATGTAGAGTCTTGTCTAGGTGTTGATGGCATTAATTAACCAGGGTGGTGGCTCTTGAAGTTTGGAGTGGCTGTGGCAATTCCTTGAAATAAGACAACCATCAAGTTTGCCACATGGATTGACTCTTTCACAAAAGATTTCTCAGTATCATGCAATGCTGTTTGATATAGCATTTTACCTACTGCAAAACTTCATTCAAAATTGAATTCAGTCCTCTCAAACCTTGGCCACTGCTTTATCAACTAAAGTTTATCAACTAAGTTGATATACTATTCTAAATATTTTGTTGTTATTTCAACAATATTCACAGCATCTTCACCAGGAGTAGATTCCATCTCAAGAAACCACTTTCTTTGCTCCACTATAAAAAGCAACTTTTCATCTGTTAAAGTTTTATCATGAAATTGGAGCAATTCAGTCACATCTTCAGGCTCCATTTCTAATTCTGTTGCTGTTTCCACCATATCTCCAGTCGCCTCTTCCATTGAAGTCTTGAAACCCTCAAAGTCATCTATTAGGGTTAGGATCAATTACTTCCAAAGAACTATTAATATTGATATTTTGACCTCCTTTCATGAATCATAAATATTCTTAATGGTGTCTAGAATGGTGAATCCTTTCTGGAAGGTTTTCAGTTTACATTATCTAGATCTATCAGAGGAATCACTGTCGATGGCAGCTATAGCCTTATGAAATGTCTTTCTTAAATAATAAACTCAAAAGTCATAATTCCTTCTTGATCCATGGGCTGCAGAATGGATGTTGCATTAGCAGGCATGAACACAACATTAATCTCCTTGTACATCTCTATTAGAGCTCCATAATACATATATATCTATGACTTTGCATAAAACACATAATAATCCCAATGCATGTAACATAAACAACATACCTTTCCCTCTGATATTATTTCCCTTTAGCCTTAAGAAACCCCTTAAGCCTTAGTGTAGTTATAGTACCAATATACTTGCTTCAATTTCCTTTATCTAATAATGCCTTCATTTACCATTTATTCTTAAAACTTATTTTTGCTAGATGCAAAATTCTCCATTGATTTTTTTTTACCTCCCTTTTTTAGCACTCTTAATATAGTCTACACTCTTCTGGATTCCGTGGCTTCTGATGAGAAGTCAGTAGACATTGAATTGGTATCTCTTTGTATGTAATGTGTCATTTTAATTTTGCTACTTTCAAGATATTTTCATTTCTTATTTCATTTTCACTAACTGTCTTTAGTTTCAAGAATTTGACATGATTTCTATAGATATAGTTTATCCTTTGTGGGATCTCTGAGCCTCTTGAATTTGGAAATTTATGTCTTTCACTAAATTTGAGTTTTCAGCCATTATTTCTTCAACTATTTTCTCCTTCCTCTTCTCTCTCCCCTTTTCATATAGCTCTAACTATGAATATATTAGACCTTTTCAAATTTTTTCCTCTCTCCCTTCTTCAGAATGGATCATTTCTATTAATGTATCTTTAAGATCACTACTTCTTTTTCATTTATTTATCTATCTATCTCTCCATTATGGTACTAAGCCATCCAGTGAAAATTTTATTTAGATATTGTATTTTTTACTATTAAGTAAACTCTATTTTTTAGAGAAGTTTTACACATACAGTGAAATTGAGCAGAAAGCAGAAAATAGAGTTCTTATATACCTCCTGCCCCACATGTTGACAGCCTCCTCCACTATCAACATCCTGCACCAGAGTAACACATTTCTCACAGTTGATAAACCTACTTTGACACATTATTATCACCCAAAGTCTATAGTTTACATGAAGGTTCATTCTTGGCATTTTGCATTCTGTGGATTTTGACAAATGTATCATGACCTGTACCCATATTATCATGCCATATGGAATAATTTCACTACCCTAAAAATACTCCGTGCTTGTCTACTCATCCCTCTTTCCTATCTAACCCCTACTTTCTCCATAGTATTGTCTTTTCCTGAATGTTATATAGTTGGAATCATATGTTACATAACTTTTTTTAGATTCTTTTCTTTTGCTTAGTAATATGCATCGAGATTTCTTCAAGTTTTTTCCGTAGCTTGGTAACCCATTTCTTTTTAGTGCTGAGTAATATTCCATTGTCTAGATTCACCACAGTTTACTCATTCAGCTACTGAAAACATCTTGGTTTTTTTTTTTTTTTTTCTGTTTTGGTAATTATGAAGCTGCTATAAATACCCAGGTTTTTGTGTGGATGTAGATTACCTTTTGGGAAGAACAAAGGGACAAGGCTCCAGAGAGAGTTGGGTGTCACCACCTCTGCTAAGCTTTGTCTTTGGGGCTTGCTGCAGAAACCTGGCCTACGGAAGACACCACACCACTGGGAGGGTTGTGTGGGTACTGAGGGACAATCGTGGTTCTCTAGGGCACTGAAGAAATCAGGGCTTGGGCTTAGTTCATTTGGATAAATGATGAAGAATGCGATTCCTGGATTGTTTGTAAGAGTATGTTTAGTTTTGTAGGAAACCACCAAACTGTCTTTCATAGTAGCTATACCATTTGTATTCCCAGAAGCAATGGATGAGGGTTCCTGTTGCTCCACATTCTTGTCAGT